GGAGCAGCATCAGCACCAGCACCAGGCACAGCAGCCGCATCAACAGGCCGCAGCTGGCTGGTGCTCCTGTGGCTCCTTTGTTCTGGCCCATCATCGGCCGCCCGGCGACTCCACTTGATCCTTGGCTTGGGTTCGGTTTGAGTTTCAGTTTCGGTTTCGGTTTTAGCCTCTGATGCGTTTGCTTTGGCGCAATTTCTTTTTCTTGACACTTCACTTTTCACAGTTTTCCTTTTTCCTCCTCCTGTCTGGCTGTAGCTCTCGTTCTGTCTCTTTTCGTTATTATTTGTTAATTTCACGCAAAGCCACACACTTTTGTTTGGGCAAAAAATATAGTGCTTTTTAAATGTTTCTGGAAATATTTGCTCGCTTTTATCTCCGCTTCAAATCTGCAAATATTTGCATTTATCCTCATCAATTTTTTTGGCTCATTTATTAGACAATATTTGAAATTCATTAAAATGCAATTTTCCCAGTAATTGATTCGCATAATTGGGTCAACAGCAAGCACACATTTCGATGCCACAATGCGTGGCATCTTTCGGCATGGGCTGCGAGTCCCGATCATTACTCATATGGCGTTCGAGTTCCTTGGGGAACTGAGAAATGAGTGGAAATCCCCCCGGGGCGGTGCCGCCGCTCGCCATCATTCTTCATTAGATGGTGGATGGTGGGGTGGGCTCATGCCAACGTGTCAAGGACTTTTCGAGGACGACCGCAAACATTTCGCAGTTTCTCCTACGTTTTCTCTTTCTCTGTATTTTCTTTTTCTTTTTTAGATATGTATCAAAAATTTCACAGTTGCATTTCCATGGAAATTGGCAAAAGGAAACGGGAGAATGCAAAGCAAAAACATTTTTTAACGGCCCGAGGAGGGAGAGAGAACGCAGGAGGCACGGTGCCAGGGCAGGCGTCGCTCTGTGGAGCTTGAAAAATTGCAGCAATTAGTGGTGCCTGGAGGTCAACCAACCAACGAGCCAAAAAGGACACGGACACACAGCACCCTGCACCCAACACCCAGGAGCCAGGACCATTCCAAAGGCCAACCTGGCGACGTGAGCCAGCCAAGAAATATGTGACAGAAATATTTTGGTTAGGGCTCTTTTTTCTTTTTGCTTGAAATTCTTTTAAAGGGACATTTTTTTGCCGAGAGATTGAAAAGTAGTTTCAGAGAAGTCCGGAGGGCTTTGTTGAAAAATAGAAGATAGAAAGAACCCTTTTGTAGATAGGCGATAGACATAGATAGGTATTTAGAAAGCGTTTTCTCTTCCGCAGAAAGAACCTGTTTATATACCCTTGATTCCATAAATCCGTGCTTCCAACGTTAATCGCTTCTACCACACACACACACACACAGGTGTATCGTTCATATCTACTATTTATCTCTGAATTAATGTCTTTGTTCTTATCAAATTGTGAGTTATGAATTATACATCCATTGAATTGTCCATTATTTTCAAGTTTATTGCTGGATTTTTATCTGTTTTATCGTTTTTAAAGACAGCTGACGAACTGCTGGACATTCGGTTATCCCAATATTTCCGACCATTTTCTGTGGGCCCTTTGCGGGTTCAGCTGGCTCAATGTTTCAATGAATCGCCCAGTTTTTATGGCACCTCTAGGCGCATTGCATTATTTATGCAAAAGTTTGGAACTGTGGCACGGCGGGCCACGGGCAACGTGGGGCAATAAAAATCAAAACCGGGCCAAATTCAGCACGATGGCATGTGACGGCACATGGCGAAAAGGCACCAAATTGTGGCAACAGCCAGAAAGAAAAACACAGGGAGCAAAACAAAAGCCAGCACCGAAAAAAAGGTTAGGGTAGAGTCCTGCTGGTCATTGACGAACGTGGTACGCGTCTCGCCCAGTACATTTATTGTGTTTCTCAAGTATTTTTCGTATGATGGGATACTTGATGGAAAGTCACGCAGCTGCCAGAGCAAAAGAGACAGGCAGAGAGACAGCAGCAGCAGCACCAGCAACAACAGACGCACTCGAGGACACATTTAATATTTAATCTTAACGAAGGACATCAATTATAATTACACACTTTGCTATAGCGCAGAATTCGCGAACCCCCAAACGACACGGCCGATTTCACGCGACTCACGACTGCTTTCGCCGATGTCTGCTGACGAACTGAACGCGCGTGGCGGTCCTGATAACGGGAATGGAATCCCACTGCAAATACGTCTCTGCACACGCACACCTAAGCCACCAACGCGACGACAAGACAACCTTCAGCTTCGGCTTGCAACGGCGAACTGAGCCCCCACGAGGCAGCACGACACGCAGCGAGGCGCCACGAAAGCTGTTGTCGGCTCTGAATGAAAGTGAAGTTTGTTTGCAGAGCGAAACGGTAAAACCAGAGCGTTGCAGAGAGCGTGAAAGCTCTGCTTAAGGACTCTCTCTCTCTCTCTCTCTCTCTCTCTGTCTCTTTGGGGGCTCTGCCATCATCTGACTTTTGTTTACGCTTTAACAGCTGTTTCCGGAGCTTAGGCGCCATTTGGAGCACAGCACGTGGCTGATGTTTTGATTTTACATTATATAAAGCAGAAATAGAGACAGAGGGCGAAGAAAGAGACAGTAAGAACTTTGCAATTCCCTCGTATTCCCAAGGATTCCTATCTTTGATTGCCTACTCGGGAATATTCCTCATCTCAAGATTCGTTTCATTGGTTCCTATACTGCCCCAAGCGTTGCCCATCAAGGACAGCTCTGCGTGGACAGCTGTGGACAGCCTTTGCATGCCAATTAGACTGGGGATCTCTCCGGACATGCCTGGGCGAACACCTACCCCACCAGTTATCGTTAAGTATAACGGTAACGGTGGAATTTTAAGGAATTTTATACCCCGTAATCGTGTTCGTGCAACAGACAGATGAGTCCGTCCAAGGGACACCTGAAACCTGTCTAGAACCAGATTCTACATCCAGAATTTCTTTGTTATTATTACCTCCCGTTTCTACCTCATTTCCAGATGGTCGATCCCATTTAATTCTCTACTGAATCGTTGTCTGTTCATTGGCCAATAAGTAAATCTTGTAGCGGGTATCTTACAGTCGGAATGTTGAAGTATAAAAATCCTACTTGTATTTTTTATCGCGCTTCCTTCAGGGCAGCTTTCAGCAATCAGCTCCGGCTTCAGCTGCAGATTGTCCTGCCTTTCGTTCTCTTTATTTTCTCATTTCCTGGTCGACGGAGCCGGAGCTGGAGCCGTCCTCAAGGATATACTCTGCGCAGGTGTCAGGAACAGAGGTGAAGCCACTAAAAAGCGAACACACACAGACACACGCTCGCATGGGATGCCTTTTTTCTTTTGCTTAATTTTCCTTTTTATGTTTTGACACCGTTTGGTAAAGTTTTCTCCCCTGCCACTGCCCCAGCCCCAGCCCCAGCGCCTTCTCTGCCCTGCAACTGCCACGGACACTTACAAGTTTCTCGCTTGTTGCCGTTGACATTTTTATACATCATCTGTCCGGATCCCCGTCTCCGTGCTGTTACACCTTTACTGTAAGTGCCACCATATCATTTCGTTGTGTCCCACATTTTTATTTAATTTTTCCCCTTTTTCGGGGGTTTTTTCTGTTGTTTCCCCGAAATGCCAGCATAAAGTTTTTGTTACCCATAAAGGCAAGTGCCTGGCTTTTGTTTTTTATTTTATTGGGCCTATATAATCGTAGGGGTGGAATCTGGCAGGTGTGAAGAGGAAATAAGGCAGAGGGTAAGGCAGACTTTGTTCAATATTTAATCGCCATCAAATTAAATCAATATCACTGGAATTTATTTACAGTACGCACACCTTTTTAGAGGACGCCATTCCCCTAAAGCATATAATTTCCACGCATCATTACTTCTTATGCAAAATCGTCACGAAATTGATTTAAATGGCATTAAATTGTTCGACAAAAAAGAGCGTACAAATTAATTGCATTTCCAAATGGCCAGAGGCTGTAAGCTAGCCCACCCCTAGATTTTATTTATGGGGCAGAGGCAGAAATCACGTATGCGCCATGCGGCCATCACCGTTCTCCATATAATCATAATCAGGCAGCCCTGCAATCGAACACATAACAAATATTTATATAGACATTTGCTTGTAAAACGCGGTATTCGTTGAGTTGGATGGTATATTGTTTTTCGATCAATATTATTACATTTTATTTGCCTCTCACGAGAGCGTTTCTCATGGACTCCTCGACTCCTTCCTGTCGCCATGTCGATAATTTATAGTAAACCTCTCTTATTTATTTTTCTACATAATAGTTACGCACACAAGCCCGGGGGTAGTGCAGTTTTCCTGTTTGCTCAGATTATTTAATTTATTTTTCTTTATGCCTCCCCCAGTGCCGCCGCCTCCTCCGCGCTTTGCTCGGGAAAACGCCGGAAAAACCTTTGTTTATGTTGGCACACATGGATGTTTAAATTACGTTTTTATTGTAAACAAAATGAGTTTGTCTGCGGGCTGGAAGCAGGCGGGAGGGCGGGAGGGTGGCACGCGCCTCAGCCGCATTTAAATATTTGCGCATGGAATTATTTTCTCTGCGAAAATGGCGGCCAGGCAGACGTTTTACAAAGTCAAACAAAAGTTACCAACGTTATTTGGACCACCTCACCTTACCACTGCTTGCTCCACGTTACTCCCAGCCGGGCGAGGGGTTAAACTCTGAACCACACCGCCTCTTTGTCCCTCTTTGTCTGGGTTCTCCGTTTGTGCACCCATATTTGGCATCTTACTCCTCCTTTAGCCTCTAGCTCCACTTACCTCTTGCTGTGGTATTGAGAATTTAAATTACATTTTAATTGGGATTTATTACTCATTTCATTGGCGGAGAATCCCCAGTGAGTGACCCTCAAATGACCTTCGATTGAACCATAATTGGAGGCAATCAATTGGTTGTCACCTGAGGAAAATCATTGAGAAAAAGACCCTTAGAAAGAACACTTTTTTAATTTCGATATGTACAAAATGTTAGCCAGAACCCATGAACTCTCCTTTCAAATGAATTCCAAAATATGTCCAGACATTTATTTTCCACGATTATGAATAAAAACAAAATCCCAGTCAACCTTTGGACTCCTGTCCAGCCGGCGGTGGTGTGGCGCTCGGAGTATTCTGCCCTTTCCTCACAATGAAGGGAGGCGAATGATCTGGTCGAATGATGGTGAAGTGACAGACCAGAGAGTCGTCCACGACCAGAACGGCGCCGCAGTTGTCGAAGATGTTGCAATAGTTGGGGGCCGAGAAGATGGTCACTAGCTGGCGGTTAGCAAAGAACTCATAGCCATCCGCCACGACCTGATGGGCTCGGGCGATCAGGTTGAAGTTGTACTGCCGCAGGAAGCGCTCCACAATGAGGTGGCCGAAGGTGACGCTAACGCCGCGCTCGTTCCAACCCCAGCCATCAGTGGTGGAGTCCGGATCGGACCACAGCAGGTCACAGAGCAGACCGGTGCCGGGCACGTCGGCGGGTCGCTTCAAATTCCGGATATCATCGAGCGTATTCAGGTCCGGACTGAGGCCCCCGTGCACGCAGAAGATCCTGTCGGACACAATGGCTGTCACCGGCATGCAGGCGTAGCAGTCGACAAAGGAGCGCCACATCTTGATGCTGTAGCGCCTCTTGCACTCGTCGAAGAAGCCGTAGATCTGGTTCAACTCCGGCGACTCGTGGTTGCCCCGCAGCAGGAAGAAATTCAGCGGGTAGCGCAACTTGTAGGCCAGCAGAAGGGTGAGTGTCTCGATCGAGTTCTGGCCCCGGTCCACGTAGTCCCCGAGGAACAGGTAGTTGGCACTCGGCGGATAGCCGCACTTCTTGAATATCCTCACCAGGTCCTTGTACTGCCCATGTATGTCCCCGCAGATCTTCACCGGCGCACTCAGCTCCAGCAGCATCGGCTGCGAGAGGAACAGCGACCTTGCCGACATGCAAATGTCCGTCAGCTCATTCTCGGTCAGCTCGTTGGCCCGCGGATTCGCGCCGTCCGACAACAGCTTCTCTATTATCGTGTCCAGATAGGTCATGCTCTGGCGATGGAAAAAGTCTCTGCCAGCTCTGCCATCAGTCGCCCCACGACTCGAGCGACGAGACATCGTTTGCTGTTGAAATTTTTAGGGAATTTTAAAAATGTGGATTATTTTAAATGTGTTTTGGATATGTTTGACTTGAGATCCATTTGTTTACATTTTGAACATTTTAAATGAGGCCTTTGACTTAAGTTCCATTTGATTATTTCTTGCGGTCCATTGAGCTCCATTGAGGTCCACTCTCTAGTTACTCCGTTTGCTTCTGCACTTGGGGGACCCTCTTGTTCCCTATCTCTGAGATCTATACTATCCCATTCCACCTCTACTCTTGCGCATTTCAATTATCAGACACTTGGCATACATTTTCCAGCAAAAGAAAAAAAAAGAGAACAACATTAAAATGGACGCGCTCGATAACAGGAAAAAGCGCCGAAAAGTCTCTTGTTTACTCGCTGTCGACCCATGGCCCCGCCCACTGGGGAGCACCCCCATGGAGCCCCTTTTGAACCACTTTCCAGCGGTGGTCGCAGCTGCATTTTGGCTGCTGGTAATCCCGATTCGGCGAGCTGCCTGCACTTGTAATGCGGCTTAAAAGAGAGATACAGCCGGAGAGAGGGAGAAGAGCATTTTTTGGGCAGCTTCTGGTCCATCCAGGGTTTTATATTCCCCACCCCATATGCAAGCTTTCCCTACCCTTTGCCCACACCCTTTTCGGGGTGGATTTTGAATACATTTTTGAATCAGTGTCGAGGCTGTGTACTTTTTATGTCACTTTTTTTGGCGTCCAACTTCTTGGGGCACTCTCCACGCATCACTCCCTACTCTGCACTATTCTCTGGTGGCACTGTGTTTTATGCGATTTGTGTAGTTCCGGCTTTAGTGGCTCTCGGACTCGGGACTCGGGACCCGGGACTCGGACCCATGTGTGCTTTCCTCTCTGCCGCACGAGCCACTGGTCTGCCTCGCCTGCCCCTCCTTCACCCAGAATGTATTTAATTGCAGGCGGCGCTCAAATGGGATTTGTGCATTGTTTTCTGTGGCGGATTTACCGCGAGAGTGCTCGTTCGTACTCCCAGTTAGTTTGCATTTTTTTGCGCCCTTTTTCCACTTTTGAAATCTATTTTAATGTTCGTTTAATTCAATACCCAGGCGGATCCCTAATGCGCCGGGAAATGGCAGTGCGGAGGGGCAGCTTCTCTTGTGGTGAAAATGTAATTAAATTGTGGCCAAAGTGGGATTATCCTCTGCTTTATTTCGATGTACAAACGTACCATATACCATATACGTATTGGTACATATCAGTATATATGCCATTTTGGCCAAGTCTCGATTACCTTTGATCTCACATTAAAGTTTAGACCATTTTAACAAATTAATAACAAAAGCTGGCTTAAAATTGATTTATATGTAGAATTTGATTGAAATCCGATTAAAGATAATCTCTATCGTTTTTCTTCCTTTGGCCTCTTAGACACGGAAACCATTAATGAAGTCCAAACTCCCTGAAGAAACTTAGTTTGATTAAATTCTAATTCCCATTTGCTGTTCGATAGAATCGCCTGCAATCGCGACTCTCGACTCAGAATTCCAAACAGCTTTCAACTGTCTTTCGAAATCTGAAGCAGCTGAAGGCGCTTGGCTTATTTCCGTTTCCGTTGGCTGCCATATTTTTGAACACCCTCTTTGTGTATCTCTATCTCTGTCTATTCTCCTTCTATCTCTCACTCTCTGCCAGCGGAACACAATTTTTACCTCAGCAATGCAATTTTCGATTCAAAAACAGAATAAAGCAAATCCAACAGAATGCAGCAGAGGTCGCGGAATAGTGGTTGAGGAGTGTGATTGGAGAGGGGAATGACAATGAAAGGGGGTTGGAGAAATGTTGAGGGGGGAATGAAGGGAAGGTTTTGAGGTTAGGTCAGTGGCGAAAACAGAAAAACGGATTTTCTCTTGCTGTTGGTGCTATTGATGCTGCTCCTCTGCTCTTGCTCTCCCATTGTGTCGCCGGAAATATTCAATTTTCAATTTTCATTTCGCTTGCCAGCAAAAATTGGCAAGCGAAAACAAAAGACGTCAATAGAGCGGGACAAAAAGATGGAGGGAGAGCTGAAGAAGTACAGAGAGGGAGGACGAGAACGAGAAAATCTACTAAGCGCATCATGTGGCTATGGCGAAGAGAACAAAGCGGAGATTGAATAAAAGAAATCAATTCAATTATTACGATTTTCCCTCCACCCTCCCGATGTATTTTTCATGAACGGTGATGCAGGACCGAACTTAATCTTAATGAAATGTAAAACCTGCCGCCTGCTGCTTTCATAACTCAGCCGTGATACAGCCTTGGGCGGTACCAGATTTGCCATCAATATTGTTGCAAGCATTAAGCAGGGCTGTGACCAGGGCTCCCAGGCTTGCCAGGACGGCCATCATAACGTAATTAAGTGCTCAGCGGGAGACAAGGCAAATGTAATGTACATTTATTGAAATATTATTTATGATGTTGAAAATTGCCGGAAGCCGGCTTTAATCTGTGTTATTTTGCAGCCAGCCGAAGAGCAGACCAGGCCCCATACTGGGCAGCCTTCAGTTATCGTTTATTTTGGCCATTTTCCAGGGTCATTAGCTGATGATGATGACAACTCTCGGGGTGAATGGGGCAAGGCCACTGTTTCTGGTTCTGGTTTTTCTTCTGCTCCTGACATGATGGCGTAACGAGCCGGGTGAAAATCAGCATTGAAATTGTTGCGTTTAATATTGTAAAAAGAGAAAAGTCAACTGCCAGTTACAGGTTAAAGGCTTAGGAAATATATATGAGGAATATCCTTAAAAGTATCTTGTAATCTTAAGCGTGTTAATAATACCTTTATTCCTTCCGCACAGCTACAGATATCATATTGCCATTTAGCACCACCTGCTTCAGTCCCGATGACCAATAACTCAGCCGCTTGACTTGGCCCAAAACGGGTCTCTCGTCAAGCTGACATTTAAGCCGCATTCCAACAGCTCCTTGACAGCTTCAGCCTCAAAGATATCCTTAAGCGGCAGCATCCTCGGAAACACACACGTCCCATTAAATAGCCTCTGGCTTTAAGTGCGAGTGCGAGTGCTGTGCGAGTGTATGTATATGCAAAGATCATGGCTGCTTTATCCATGGGAGACAAGCGCTTGTTTTAATTAAAATTTTAATTTAATTCCTTTATTTTTTCTGCGCAACCATCAAACAGGATGCGGCAGCAGACTGGCATGGGCAGGAACAGGGGCAGGGGCAGGGGCAGGGCAGACATCAAGTGGCCGAAATTAAAATCTGCAGCAAACACTTGACACGGCCACCCGTATGGGTGGAGGCTGGTGAGAGGCGGCATCATGTGGTATGCTATGGTGTGGCAGAGGCCAGGGAGCTGTTGTCAAAGTGCAAACTACATAAGTGACAAAAAATTACGCATACGCACTGTGCCACTGGTTCTGTCGCTGCGATAATAACGTATAATGAAAGCAACCAGAGCGCAATATATTGAAGTGTCTGCGTGTCGTGCTCATTAACACTTTGTTGGGATGCTGGGTGGCAGAGCAGACCTCAAGTTTGTTGAGAAGTGGAGACCGCCAACTCGGAGGAGAGACACAGAGCACAGAGGAGTGTGAAAAGCAGAACAGTAGTACTCGTAAATCATTGAAACTGTGAGAGAAAATATGTCTAACAAGGAAGAAAGCTATAGTCGACTAAAGGATACCCGCTTTTGGGAATGACTACAAACAGTCGGACGAGGAATATTTCCACGAACACAGCAAGAGTCTACCTTTGTAATCTCCATGTGCCAGGTATAATAAAGATTTAGTAAGACATCATTCCCTTATAGCCCTGCTGCCTGCCCTCTCCTATCGTTTGCCAAAAGATCTCTTCACTTTTGCAGCCCAAAAATAGTTGCCGCAGAGCGAAACACTTGCATCGGCCCCGGATGATGCTTTGACTGGCTTTGGGCTGCCTCTGGGGGGCCTATGTCTTGGTGTTGGATGACATTTAGCAGCCGCTTGACATATGCAAAGACACAGACACCGACACTCCTTCGTCTGGCGTGATGTCCTCATCTGGCAGAGGCCTCAAAGACACGGCTGACAGTCAGGCACTTGACGTTGACGAGCATGTGGATAAGATGGAGCCTGGAGCAGGGTCTGAGTTAAAGGATGGTTCTGGGATGTTGGGTGAAGTACGAGTATAATGATGTGCAGCTGCGGCTCCGGAATGCTGGCAGTCATTGGGCAGGCTGCACCACGCGGCGTATGAGTAATGTGCACTGTTAGATAGTTAGTTAGGCCAATAGTAGCCTCCCAGTGGCCAGAGGAGAGTGGAAATGAAAACGAAAACGAAAACGAAAACGAGAACGAAACGCAACTGTGAAATGATACTAAAGAATGATGCAATTTCCCGGCCACAATTTACCATTTTAATGGCCCTGCCAACGGACGGACAGGGCAACCGACAGGCGGCCAGTGCCATTTCAATGATGTACTTATCCTTGGCTCTTCGAGTGGCCTCTGGCACTGGCTCTGGCTCTGGACCTCTCTGTCTCTCTCTCTCTGCAGCTAGCCTTTGTGAAAAATTTAGAGTAAAGCACCTCATTAAATTGAAAAATGTCTACAATTTGCAGGACATTATGTCCCCGACTAATGCATGCATCTATGCAGGAACTAGTGTGTGTGTTTTCTCCTCCCGTCCTTTTTTGCCATGAGTCCTCTGGCTTTGTCTGTCTGGTGTTCTGCCTCTGTGGTCGGGACCTACAAATTATTCAACTTGTCGACTTTTAAATCTCCTTTGCACTGAATGGAGCTTAATCTATACGAATATACAGAACACCAGAGCATAAACTCGCATGTAGAGACACATATATGTATAAATTTGCAGTGTTAATGCAATGTTAAGCTGCTTTATTAATGATTTTCTCTTTGGTTTACCTTACAGCTTTCCCAAGCGACTGCTCACAGTGGGATAAGGGCTGTCCTTTGAAGGAGGGAAGGAACTTTTGTTGGGGAAAATGTAAATGCGAATGCATTTTAGACCACTGTGCATTTGGGCTGTCATAAAGCAAAAGTTATTGGTGCAAAAATCCTGAGCACAGAAATACACTTGTG